AAGGTCGTTTGAGAACTCCAGTTGACATATAGCAATGTTCCGGATTGTTTCCATAGTTCATCATATGCTACATGTACAAACCGCAATGTTTTTTCTGACTTTCATGCTTTCTGTGGCCTGTGACCGCAAGCTTCAACCCTTATGGTTTATCCATCTTGACAATTCGTCAGAAAAAGCACCTGGGAATTGATTTTGTCTTTCCCTCCCTCTCGAATGAAGCAATTCCCCGGTCTCCGAACGCTGCTGTGGCCTCTGGAAGATCCATCTCTGCAGGACTGCTGCCTTCACTGGCCTGCCGTTTGAAGTCATGAAACTGCTTGGGAAAACATTGCGTGGCTCGATGCTGTATAAACATTGGGCCCGTTCTGGAACAAATTGGGGTTCTCTGCCTTTGTCTCTGTAGCCTTGACTTGTGACCGTTGGTTTCCCCGTTTGGACAGCGGTGCTTCGACCTCCCAGGTGAGCTCGGAGCTCCGTGCATCGACGTCACCTGGGAGGTCCGTCCGTGCAGCGCGCGCAAGAGGCGAAGCACGCCGGAGTGGATTTTTCGGTGGGCCTTTTTGGTCTTTCGTTTTTCTTTTTCAGTTGGGGGGGGGGGGGGGGACGGGGAAGGGCGGGGGCAGGGAGATAGGGTTTTTGACTGGGAGGTGGGGCCGAACAGAACTTTCTGAGGCACAGACTGAAATGGGCTTTGCGAGGGACGGCATCCTGGCACATCATTGGTTAGACCATGCTGGACCATGTGTTCTGAATTCGGAGTTCCTTCACATGCAGGGAAGCGTTGAAGAGTTGGAGATAGACGTAGGTCCGCATGAATTCTCCATTCCGGCACTTACTTCATGACAATCCACAATCTTGCACGACGGCCTTACTTGATCAATCAAATCCTATAAGAATCAGGGCTTGAGCAATGACATACAATATCATACAAATGAGCAATGCTTCTCCAGTGTCCACCCTCCAGAAACCCAATCTTGACCAGTGTTGGCAACAACATCAGGCCTGCTGCATCTTCAGCTTCAAACGGCGGGACTTAATCTCACCTGCAGCAATCTTTGAGGATTCCATTCTTGGAGATTTGCCACATGACATGCATTGCACAGGGAGTGCTAGGATGTGGCAAGGACCGTGTAGAGTGCAGTACAAGGAAACAAGTCACCTGCAGTTGCTGAAGCAGTCCCCACTCTAAAATGAGCTGGGTTCAGCGCCGGGTGGGCAAACATGGCAAAAGCGGCAGGACTGACCTCTGGAGATGCGGTCATGTGGATCGAGCACCGGAATCGGCGCAGCCATTGGCAGTCTGCGAAAGCCCTAGAATCCCTAGAACAATTGCTCCAAAAACAATTCAAACATCGAGAACCGCTGCACTGCCTACCCGTCAATCTTCTCCGCAATCAATTAGTAATTATATCATGTAATTAGTCTGAATCGCCCCGATGGCGATTCGTTGTGGCCACATTTGTTGTCTCCGTTGTTGTGGCATGAACAATGTGAAAGACAGGAGAAAACAGTGTGAAATCTTTGTTGTGGCATCTTGGTTGTTCTTCGCAACAGTGTGAAAGATGGTGAGCGTGCATGGACATCCGTGGATTCTTGGTCTTCGCGAGATGTCGGGCGTCCTCGGTGTGGCTCCTCACACTGAGGTCAGCTCCCTTCTCGCAGCCCTTCGGACGCCAAAACCAAGTGCAAGGCTTGCAGTCCCCTGGTAGCCAAACTGGATACGAGTGGTACGAGCAGAAACGAACATTGAGGGTTGAGTCGATGTCTGTGGCGACAAGGCATCCTTGGGATGTTGACAGAATGTCTTGAACGTGCTCCTGCAATTTCCACGGCCGCAAGGAGTTGACGGAATGTTTCTCGCATGCCTTCCCATCCTTCCCCTTGCTTTAATGCAAAAATGCATCGATTCTAGAATAGCTCCCAGTCTTGGTCGAAGCCGCTCCCGAGCACAAATCCACCTACCTGTCCCATGCAAGGCTGAGCCCAAGCTGGCATCGTCCAAATCAGAGATCGGATCTCCTGGCATTGTCCAAGTTCCGTGTCGTGTGGCCAGAAACTAGGCATTTCTTTCAAAGAAGCTGAAAAGAACGAGCTCTTGGGCGCTCTTGGGTCTCAGGCCACAGGCAAGCCTCGAAATTACCCAAAGACAGACATGCCTAGTCAGCGTCGGACACGGGATCCCCACAGTGGTTTTGGCGTAACTCGGATCCCCATGGGATCCCCGAAGACCGTCCTGTCCCTAGCTGAAGGCCTGGGGGCCGTCGAAGCAATCGGAGCACTGACTCCGACCTGCGCCACGTGCGGAAGCGTTTGGGAGCCGTGGGCCGTTTGTTTTCTTTCTTTGGGGGCAAACGGGGGTGATGTTCCTCACAGTGCCAGACTGAAAATCGTCAAGCCGAGTCCAATTTGTGTGAATCGATGTCTCCAAGGCACTGCAGGTCAATGGACTTCACCATCTTTTCTGCAAGGGTTTTGTGCCTTGAGCCCAACAGATTGCTATTAGTAACAAGTGCACCGCTACTAGTAACAAGGGCATTATAGGCCCTAGTTCTAACAAAAAGCTTCTACGGAATCAGAAAGGTTTAGGGCCTTTAGGGTTTCTTCCAGAACTACAATGTACTCACCTGTTGGCCGCTCAAAGAGCTGCGGCGGGGGGTCGTAAAAAGGGCATTCACCACATCCATGCACAAACAGTTTTCTTTCCTCAAGATCCTTTGGGCTACCCATGATGCAGCTGTTGTCAACAGTCAGAAATAGGATGCAAGCAAAGCACAAAACATCTCTCGCAAACAAAACATATGTTGATGAGGGCCACAACGACCCCGAATCACGGAACTGGAGGTTGTTTCGATAATTCTGACAAAGGAGTGTTTATAGTTTCTAGAGTAACTATATACTGTACATGGAATACTATAGTTATACAAGGAATTTAAAAGAACTTAAAGCTAGCCAAATATGTAAAAGCAAGCTAAATGTGGTTTCTTTAACTTATATAATGATTCAAAAATATATAGCATATATATATATCATATCATATTATATATATAAGCATATTCCGTTGTGTCTTGCATAGCCGAGAGAGACAAAAACAGGTCCAGGGTCCAGCATGTGGCCAGTCAGAAACACCGGTCCCACAAGAGGTTCGCTCATTTTATTCGGTGCTGATCTGACCGCCTCAGAGTTCGTCCAAGTTGCTGAGACTTCTTCCTTGCCTTGATTTCATCACCTGGGTCTAACATGGTTTGACCCACTCGTGACACAAAAAGATCAAATCGTATCAAATCAAATGTGAAAAAACAACGGGAGGCATCCCTTGGTCGTGTCCCTTTCCACCCTGACTGCCTATACATTATGATAAAGCCTGGGCAGCTGAATCTAGCGGGTTTCTCAACGAAAGGCCGATGAGTACCTGGACTGGAACCAAAGCCAAGTGGCAAGGACAAAGGTGGCAGTGCAAGCACTCTTGCCCATTTCCTGAGTTCAGACCAGTCATTGCGAGGACTGTAACATAAAAGGCAATGACTTCAGCCTTGCTCACAGGTGAAAACACATACCAAGAAAAAGCCAAGGGCCAAGATCAATCAACTATCCCACAACATAATACTATCCAGGAAATGGATATCCCATATTTTAACAGCGACAGGCATGAAACGACTGTAGCAGTGTAGCCGCTGTATTAGCTTTTTGCCCCTGTCATCCATTTCGGATACTGCCTTCACCTCACGTCGCTCGTTCTGCATGGCACCCAGGCAAGCCGGGCAGTCTGCGATTCTTGCGCCAAGTGACGACACCCTTGAGGCTTCCAGTACCAAGCGCAGGGTTTGCACTCACCTCTCCAAACATTTGCCGCGTCCAAACGACCAGCGCTGCTCCCGGGTTTCACCACCCTGTTTCATCCAACACAGTAGAAGTACAGCGTCAGAAGTTCTCCGCTCATGTGGCCGTCTCGCGTGGTGACCGTGCTGCGCACTGCAATTACTTGCAAAGGAGCATGGAAGCACAATGAATCACATCTGTTGTTCCACTGCTGCTTGACACGCGCAAAAAGCCGCCTGTGCCATGTAGCACTGATCCCACAGATGGCCGTTGGTCTTCAAAGCCTTGGCGTATGTGAACACAGTGATTATCGCAGCCCTCCTTAAAATCAAGGGGCTTGCAGCCCCTACAGCAAATGGTCCTTTTCTGTTGCTTGATTCATTTTGGATGTTCGGGATGTGCGCCCGAAGTCCCGAAGACTCTTGCCACAAATCCAGGTACAACTCTTACCATGTTTGCCCACCTTTTGCTTCGGTCAACTTGAAGGGCAAACCGTCACTCTCCGGGTCCCCGAGCCATCAATCTCATCCGGGACTAAAAGTCCTGTGATGGGCACCTGACGGCTGGGAACAACATCGGCAAAGGGCATTACTACTAGGAGCAAAAACGCTACTATAGGTGGAGGCCATCGCTAAAGGTAACAAGAAGCTACTAGTAACAAGAGGCACCAAAGACTCAATGGGTGCATCGAGTGCGCCAACAAGTCTGGCAGGGGAACGAGGACAAACACCGAACCAAAGAGAGCACCAAAACGGTGTGAGTACTCAAATTGTCAGGCTTGATCCTACTCACGACCAACATTCAATGATCATGATTTGCCTATACAACCAGCTTGTGGAGTTGTAGTTGTAGTAACAAACAACGGCATTCCCGCCGCCTGCCTCAAGCGGCTCAAGCGCTTCCATGGCTGCAGCAACTTTGGCGACACAGCCGGTCACAACTCTCAGAACCAATGGAAGATGCTGCGGGAGTGGCAGGTCTGTCGGTGATCTAATCTGACTATCAAAGTCCTGTTCGAAAACCCTGCCAGTATCTGCAAACAAAGCCTCACTGACAGTCTTCTGAACTCATGACTTTATTCTGAGCAATGTATCCGATACATTCCGATACCTGTTGGACTTTTGGACAAGTAGTTACAATCTCTCTTCCTTCACCCTCCACACCTGTTCGCTTTCCCTCCAGGCCTAGCATTGTCACTCTTCAAGTCTTCATCGTCGGGCCGCTCCTCCTGTGATGAAGTGCAAGCGGCCTCTCCTCTTGTTCTGTTGTTCTGGAACAGGCTTCAACAGGACGATACCAGGATACAGGATATACCTGAGTGTATGATACCTGTCTACAAGCCTTCTCGGAAAATAAGGAACCTCCATGCCGGCATTCGGCATTCTGCAGATTGCTTTGGCTTCCAGCTCCCTGCGCTAATTAGAAACCAAAACAAGGTTCGATGATATCTTCCAATAGATCCCAAAACGTATCTGAAATCTGTGAAGCACTGATACACACACTCGCGCGCGCATACAACAAACAATTAATCTCCGTCCGTTGACATTCGTCCTGGAGCTGCGCCAAGACTTTTCGGGCCTCCACGACATCTTCGTCCTGGATGCAAACCTCATGAGCGGCGCCACAGCTTGATGTCACAGCTTGGTGTCGGTCGTGGGACACGTCGTGTGCCAAATGTGAAGACTCCTCCGTTCAGGTAAAGCAAACAACACCAGCTTTCGCAAAGCTCAGCACCTGCAAGTTCATCTTCATGCATTCATATCTGACCGAGGCGTTGTTGAGGGCCTCCAAGCCACGGGCAGTGACGCTCAAAATGTGACTCACCAAGTATATAAATAAAGGAGCATAAACACCTCGCAAAGAGGGGTGTCGTCCTTTATTGTGTTTCCTTTTGTTGGATCCAATCTTCCAGACTCCCGTGTGAGACTGACGGGGGTTCGCCTCTGAGACCTTCAGCACCTCTGCCAGCAGCTGGCGGCCTTCCTTTAAGGCGGCCTCGTGGTCCCAACACATTTCAACGGGTCCAACAGTCGTGGCCCATGGCGGATTTGAGAGGCACAGCCCGTGCCAGCCGGGCCATATAAACAAATCGAACATCACTCGTCATATAACTACTCCGAATTGTAGGCTGTGTTCTAGTTGGGGAAGGTCCGAAGTCATGAGCCTTCAGACTCGGTCAGATAGGTCAAATCTCCCAGCCTTCTCTGCGGGTGGTGCTGGCTCCGGGTTCTCCCCGAAGCGCATGTGGGCCAAGGACATGGCCTTTGCCAAGCGCATCCTGAGACCGAGACGACCCCGTCGACCCCGTCTCCCGGATCGACGGGTTCGGGTTCACCAGAGCCAGCCTCAAGGTCGCTTGCTCTAGTTGTATCTTTCGATCTTCTTTCTTGTCCTGCCGAAGCAAGACGACCCGTCTGGAAGCAAGACGGGGAAGGAAGTGATCCAGGAACACCTGCAGGAGGGCAAATCAGTTCAACTGGCTCAATAGAACTACAGTACAGAAGGAGCTTGGGTGGCTGCTATGTTTACACTATGTATTTAATATTATACTGGGTATCTGCTAGGCGCTACGGTCCACGCTGAAACATGTGGCTCGTGTTCACTCAATGGCCCATCTCAATCCACTTCAAGCCGCGTCGGTATCGACCTGAGAAAAGCTGCGGATTCGCTCTCAAGTTCCGCGTCTTAAAAAGACCCGTCTCAAAGCCGAAACTAGGACGACCAAGGCTGAGGTCAACACGTTCAGCATTGTAAGCGAACTTGTGGACCTTTTTCCCCCAAGGTCCACAGCTTCAAATCAAGAAATGATTGAGGTGCCCATAGGTACCCCAAATGCCAGAACCATCATGATTTGTCAGGTATGTGTGTGTAGTATGATGTGTTATGTGTGTGTGTCTCTCTCTCTCTCTCTCTTTCTTCTCTCTTCAAATGCATGCGTTGCAGGTTATATTCCTGTGACTAGGCCCCTCCCCATTCCAAAGCGCAATCATGACACAATGAGCACACGGAGTGCCCAGTAAACGACCGTATTCTTCCATATGGCACAAACGTCTCTCTTTTGTGCACCTGTTCTGCCACATGTGCTTCTGCACCTTTGGAGTCCTGCCACACATGACTCACCGGCATAATCTATCGATGGCATGGCTGAGCATCCACTGATGATCAAGTTCGCACAGTCTTTTTTGTTCCAGGCTTTTTTGCATTTGGACAGCAAAGCTGTCCCTAATTTCCCCCGCGAACCTATTCGTGCAATGTGCTGAGAAGGTGAGGATGCAGCCCCAAAAGCATCCTGTCATAGGAATGGGCTGTGTCACTCACCGTCTGTAAGAGCGTCTATGACGCAAGTCATTTAAATGACTGACTGACTGACTGACTATATAGTTGATTGAGCATGTTGAGACCTGCTACCTGCTGATGGGTGCATGCAGTTGAAGGGAAACCGCCCCAAGTGAGCAATTGCCCTTACAAGAACAAATCAACACAATTCAAAACATCAGTCAGCCTAGGCATTGACTCAAATGATGCCTGGAAAAACAAGTCTCTCGATCTCTCTCGCCCTCTATTTCTTCACATTCACTGCCTTGACGTGGCATGCTCAATCATTTGTGAAACAAACGGAAGCTCTGACTGCCGACTTCGCCGGTGTGCGAGCCAAAAGGAATGAACCGTTGACGCACAGGTCAAACACTTAAAAACCCAGGCTGGTGACCCCGTCATTTCAAGTCTGAACAGTCAAACAGGTGGACTGTCCCAAAACGCTCCAGCGGACTTCGGGGCGTGGTTTCACTCGTCTGAGGGCTTTCTTGCTTCAAGGAGTGATGATAAAAAGACAGATTTTGGATCGGCCCAATGGCTCAACCTGAAGGCCAAGCGCTCGAAGTAGACTTATATGCCACATATTTCTCACCGGTTTCTTTAATTGGCTAGCCAGCCCAATTCAGATGCATCTTTGTTAAATATTGGATGCTCTTTGAACTGCCATTAATCATTAAAGCTGAACGTCTCGCCGAGTGAAGACCCTACAAGCAGCTTGTCTAAACAATCTCGCCGGCAGCTTCAGAACCTTCACACAAGTCAAACACAGTGACAGCAATTCCTCCTAGCCATTTGCTCCGATCAACCCGAAAGAATGAACCTCTCAGTAGAAACGAGATTTGGTATTTGGCCACCCTGCAATTTTCTTGACAAAAAACATGGGTCACGCCAGAACTTGAATGTGATCCACATTCAATCATTCTGTTCGCGCTTGGGTGGACAAACCTACCATTGCAACCTGCACTCTAGATGAAGAGTCCTATCTGCTCCTATCTTTTGTACCTCTTGGCACCAGGCCGACAGGTTGGGGTGATGATCCTGAACACCATGTATGTATATGTACAGTATATATATATATATGTTAATAAACATACAACACATCATTCACATCATGTATATCCGATATCCGAGGTCCCACGAAATCTGAGCAAGCATCCTGTTGCGTTGTGTCAAGGCACCATCTTCTGAGTTGAGAGGAGTCCATGACTCAAACTCCTCAATGTCCTCTTCTTCGATGATATCAATCTCCCTTCCCTGCGGAAGAAGTCAGCAGTTTTGGATTAGCCTCGAATGAAAATACAAGTACATCCAAGCAATGTCTGGGAGACGTGGAGGTTTGATACAAGAACGTTCTGTATGAAGTATGGAGGTGTGATCGAGGCTGGTACACCTATAGTCTATAACACTGGAAAACGTAGGTTCGGAGCCGCGGTCGGCGGGGTCAGCAAATCTAATTGCCCCCTTTTGCCTCTGAAGCCCTAAACCAAGAAACAGTGTTTTCAATGAGTCTGGATGCGCAACGACTTAAAATATGCACAACATATGGCCTTGTCTTCTTTTCCAGGTGCCTGCGATAGGTGGCACACAAAGCCGGTGTTGATTTTTGGGGCTCAACGAGCACTCCAGTTGCTCAGAGTGTTCGAGTCTCGACATGGCTCTGCCCTCTGAACAAACTAAGAACAAGCGGTAGGTAGACATCAAAACGGTGATAAGTGATAAACGAAGTAGACTGTAAGTCTGTGCGAACATGTGCGATTCTTCTGGCTGTTTCTGCTCAAATGGTTCCCCACACATTAAGCTCCAAAGTATCAACATGTGTCTCTTATATAAAGGCTTAAGCCTTAAGTTTCTCATTTTGAACTTGGTCACCCAATGTTGCGACATGGATTCCTTCGGCACCTCCAATCGACCAGCTCTGAAGTTCCTGTTGGAGCGCGTTGCCGCCTGGCACTTGCGGATGTGTAGACCGGGTATAGCTTCCAACCTAGAAGCAATGGCCTCCGACCTAATAGCAATGGCCTCCAACCTAATAGCGATGGCCTCCTACTCTGCCTGGCACTTGCATGTACCAACATGTATCAACCAGGCAAACCAAGCCAGCAGCCTAAACTTCTCGTGCCACAGTGTGCCGGCCACGTCCGTCGGACCCAATCCGGACCGTCTCACCGCCGCGGCCTGCATCTCCGCTTGAATCAGTCGGTCCAGAGCAGATTCCTGCATTGAATGGGGTCTTCTTTCGTCCAAAATGACCGGGAAAAGGCACATAGACACACAAACGACTAACAGCCGCTTTACATCCAGATCCTTTGGCGCCCACACGTGCTACGAATACAAACAAAAACAAACAAACGATGTCAAACGACAAACACCTAGTGGCATGTGGCACCCAGTTCTGAACACCTCATGAAGCGTCTAGCCTCCACAGTGAGTGGGAAGCGATGAGCTTCTGGCAGGGGATCCAGATCGCCTGGGCCTTTCTCCTGCAACCTTGGTGTGAAATCTGAGAAGCAAGGAACATGTAAGCACTGGGAACACCTCACGGACTGTGGTTTGCATCTTTCTACTTTCTTAATATTGCCTGAATTCTCGAGCCCCAAGCACATGGCCCAAACATCGTTGCTACGCACTTGACCAAACAATCAGGTGTGCTTGAACCTCATATTAGCTTGATCTTCAACTGCCCAGCCCAAAGCTCGCCCGGAGCAACCAAACCCATGAAACACAAACATGGTGGACTTGCTATCCTATCCAAGGTGCTAGTAACTAGTAAATCGCATGGCAGGGGTGGTGATGATGTCATTTCCACGTGACCTTCACACACTCAACCCGGAATAGCTTTTAAAACCCTGTAGCCGCCTCAAACGAGTGAACCGTTTACAAGTTTACATCGTTTGTTTCCGCCTTCAGCTCTTTGGCTAGCAACAATTGCAAAAAATCAACCACATCATTGCCATAATTCCTTGAAAGAAGCAAGTCAAGCTGAGTCACCCTGAACACCTGCAGTCAACCTCGCCACCCGGATGTTTTGCACCGAGCGTCCGCTGTCCGAAGACATCGTTCACATTGTAGGCCACGTCTCGGAAGCGGCGCACGGTGCGGCGCAGCTCCTCTGGCCAGGTCTCGCTGTAGGCCACTTGGTATGTGCGCAGATCCTCGGCTGAAACCACGTCTCAAGACGTCGGGAGGTTCACAGAATTGAATTATGCAAGTCTGTACGGTCCCAGCCAATCATCAAAGTCATTCACATCTCATCACTACAGAAGTGTCACTTGAGGCCGAGGGTAGGTGACGAAAGCTGGCAGGGGTGCATCCGGACTGGTGGGACATCAAGCGGATTGAGGCAAATGCTCATGAGGCAAAACGTTGTGAATTTGTAAGACACACAAACAGCAATGACACAGCCAACCTTAGAATTGAAGTTGGCTAACCTTAGAATTGAAGTCCCCGATAAATAAGGAAGCGTGGCTGGACTTTGCCACACTATTCGATGCATCCGATGTGTTTACGAACCTGTGAGCTTGTTGAATCTGTTGCACCGTATCCCAAAACCTCCACGGAGGAGTTGAACCAAAGTGGATGCCATAAGAGGTGCCCAAGAGGTGTCCCAGAGGCAAAACAAAGCTGCTTGCATGATTTACTTGGTTTCTTCTATCAATGTCGATGTCATGAACCTGTGAGCTTGCTGAATCTGTTGCACCGTATCCCGGAGGAGTTAAACCAAAGTGGATGCTATAAGAGGTGCCCGAGAGGTGTCCCAAAGGCGTCCCAGGGGGGAGTTGAACCCACGGGGGGGGGGGGCCCCCCCCTACATATGAAGTTTTCACGTGATGCGGCGATCTCGAGGATTCCAGCCCCTCACTTGCTAAAGCAAGGACAACTCCAGCTAGCTGGTGCTAGCTTTCGTGAAAAAAGGACATGATCTTCCAATTCATTGATATTAGACTCCTCTGATAGGAAGGAAACACTATTGATTAGAATAAACATGAACGGGGTGGATGGACCATCTGCTGCAAACACGGGGGTCCAATATCTACATCTTGTTGAGCATCGAACTTGCAACAAGGGCCACAAAAAGGGCATCCAAGGATATCCAAGGATCGAGATTGCCGCCAGTTGCATACGCTTCAGAACCTGAACAGGTGAAACGAAACCAAGGATCGTCCTCAATCATGCCTCGATCTTCGAAGGAACGTCCTGCATACTAGGCTTCCGTTGACAAACACCACCCCTGAAATGAATCTGCAGAATCTGGAGGGGAAGCATGGAGAGCAAGTAGAATATTGGAAAATTGTGGGGCGAATGCATCAAATCACAGATTGCCAACCGTATTGGAAGGGTGGGCCTGAGTGGACCTGGGACTGGAGAGAGAGGCAGGGCTGGGCAGGGATGCTTGTCTTTGGCTGCCTTCGTTGTTGTGCTCCTGTCTGTTACCACTTTCCACTCGCATGATCATGTGAACAGAACAGAACAGAACTTTGAGTACCCCGGACCAGACCTTCAACTTTAGTGGAGGGGCCGTCCTAATGGTTTGTGCCCGTCGTGAAAAGAGTGGGTTCTCCAACTTCAATTAATTGGTACGATAATGTTTGCCATGATTTTGTTTGGTAGGAGTTCCCACCGAAAAGGCCTCATGTCAAACAAAAGAGCGTGCTTTGGCAAAGCCAAAAACATGTTGTATCAACGGCACACAATAGCATCAAAAAGGAACTGTAGAACCAGCTGCTTCAAGAGCACATGCAAACAAAGAAAAACTACCAAAACAATAATTGCGCTGGTTTGTGTGTACT